TATTTACAATGTTGCACTCCAAGCAATTAATTAGTGAAACATACAATTGATTATTTTTTCACGCGTAATACATAGGTATATTTCCTTGTCATTCAAGACAGATGTTTTGTGAATCTAGATCAATTATGTGTGCAGAAAACAGTGTATTTTACATAGAATCACCCGCTGTTATGTAGGGATGTGTAAAATATGTATGTGTGTAATAACTGGCCTTGGTCTAGGACAGTGTGGCCTTGGCCTCCAATGGCAGTGACTAGTTCTGGGCTTTTGCCTGGGAGAGCCAGGACACAAACTCGGCCTTTGCCTCTACTGCAAAACGGATTATGAAGAATTTAGAATGAATCCAGGGAAACCCATATGTTTTGCACCTTTGTCATTGCAAAAGGCTGTCATTTTTGACACTAGAAATCCTGTAATTTATAGTCTTTTTTATTATGTCCCGTTTGAAAATACTTTACCCTTAAATGACATATAGGTAAAAAAGAGGTAAAAATTATGATGTACATACATTAAGCAAACTCTTACAGGCTAATTTCAAAATAAGCTTTGGCCTGTAGACTACAGGATTCATGCGATGAACCTTTTTAGAATTACTTTTTGTGTTTGTCTTCGCTTCTTCAATGTATGAAGACTGTATGACACCCTCTTTGAGTTACATGATCTGAAAAGTGAATTTTCTACACAATGAAAATTGACCAAGCATTTCTGGACAAGAGGGGGCGCTTTTGCATTGATGTTAAGAAAGAGAAAGGACACTGTTTGCATGTTATCATTGTGAACTCCAAATGTGCTTTTAGAAAAAGTTACTCACGAAAGGTTGCTGTCCGACTTATTGCCAAAGGAAATGACATCTACGACAGTGTTTGTTTACAAACATCTAGCATTCTTTTGCGCACATGTCAACGCAATATCTACAGGTTTTTGTGCTTTGGATACCATAATGTTACTAAGAAATATGAAAATTCGCATTAGAATAAAACCAAAAAGCTCCCCAAATGGATTAAAATTGCAAAATTAACATTTAAAATCAGGTCAATTGAAACCCAAATGTACGGCTTCGAGGGTTTCAATAAACGTTACTGAAATATTTCTATTTCATGGTCCCTTCATTATCAAAATCTTTGTTTGTCCTCAGGCTCGTATGCCACCTTCTCAGATCTGAAGTGTGATTTTGATTCCGAATCCTTTTGTGCGTACAACAACAGCCAAAACGATGACTTTGACTGGCTACTAAATAGCGGTTCAACGTTCACTGGAGTCAGCGGGCCCGATGTAGACCATAGCAAAGGAGATTGTAAGTAAAAGAAGATGGAGGTAGTGAGGGTGAAGAGTCATCAGCTGCTTCGATGTACTGCCGGGCTGAAACAGCTACAGTATTGCTTTTGTTTCTCAGCTTTTTCGCATTTTTCAAACAAGGCATTACTTTTGTTCTTTTTTTTTTTGCCTTTTTTCCAATTTTCAAAGAAGTCTCTTTTGTTAATTGTCTTTGGCTTTTTGCAATTTTGTGAAAAATGCGTTATTTCTGTTCTTTTTGGCCTCATTACTTTATTACTCATTACGTCATTACTTCTGTACATTTTTTAGCTTTTTTGCAACTTCGGTAATAAGATTTTTTTGTCCTATTTTCCTTGCAAGTTTGCATTTTGCGAAAAAGCATTACTTAAGTTCAGTTTTTTAAGCTGTTTTGGACACCAGCGGAAACAGCTTTTGTTTTTCGTAAGATTTTTTGGCTTTTCCGCAGGTCGCGGAAAAGGTATTGTTTTCGGCAAAAATCTTTTGACTTTTTAAGAAGTTGCAGAAGAGGCATTCTTTTTGTTTTTTGGGGGCTCTTTCGCTGCTTTTCGTAAAAGACATTTTTTTTATCCTGTTTTTTGCTTTTTCGCATTTTTGCGAACAGGCTTTGCCTGTTTTTTGCCCATTGACTTTGTGCACGTTTTCAAGATTATACTAAATTGCGTCATGATGACGTCTCTAGTAATTGATTATCAAATTAATGTTAATTTTTAAAAACCCGTATAAAACCATTCGTGGTTTCCCACAACATTCTGTTTGCGGTAAGTGCCAGAGAAAAATTGGGTCTTCAATTCATCTTGCGTGGGTCAAAATCAATCAAAACCGGAAAAGGGCGTACTGTTTAAAAGTGGTAATAGATATCAACTTGTTTTCAACGGTGTTAGTCGGTGGCGGTATTGTGTTCTTCAAAACATCTACTAATGAGGTCATGTGATTGTCGATTGTACACTTCGTACACGTTTTCAAGCCATCATTTTGTGGTAATTTTAAGATCTTTCATCGTCCTCGAAGCTACAGCCAACAAAGACCCTGATAAAATGAATTTTCCTAATGTATGACACCATGATGACGTCAACACTGAATTTGTGAAATTTATTTATTTATTGATTGATTGATTGATTGATTGATTGATTGATTTGATTTATTTGATTGATTGATTGATTGATTGATTGATTGATTGATTGATTGATATTTAATTTTCCCCACAGGTTTTGTAGACATTTTTAACAGCCAGTCTTTGGCACTCTACTCAATATGACTTACGGTATTCCATTTATGTACACTCGACATTCACCATGGAGAGAGTTTCCAGGAAAAAAATAATCAAAATGACATTATCACGGGTCACTTGACATGTGATTAAAGCTGCAGTTTTTCTCTGTAGGTTTAGTACACCTTTTTCAACTAGACACTAACGAGTGGGTAGTACTTAAAAG